GTGATGCCTTTCGTTCCGACAATTTACTAGCCGTTTTGCATAATCCACCGCGGAGAAACTAAACAAATGCCATTTTGTTTAATCATATTTTTTATTTAAATTTTTAATTTTATTATCTGCATTATCATACACTTTTACAAAAGATTAAACATGGCAAAATTATATTAAAACGTGACTGCAGCATACGCAGAAATGATTATCAAGAAAGCAACGAGGAAAAAAGGAGATGATTAATTCCTTTTTATATACATATATGCAAATTTGCGAAGTGTATAATTTTCCTCGAAGTGTTAGCAAAGTATTCATCGCTTGGTTTATTTGTTGTCTACAGTATCTGTTAAAAGTGATTGCAGTAATTAGAGAAGTGATATATGTATATACATATATAGTGACCTCATATTTAAAATGCAGACGTAATTGAAATTTTGTTTGCCAGTTACTTTAGAATGCATAAAAGTACATTTTCAATTAAAATTATGTTATTAAAGAGGATTTAAAATTTCTAATCACATTGTAATCGAAATAATATTTTTCAATTGTTATATGCATGGAAAGTTAATTGCGCTATGTTCGTAAAATAATCTAATAAAATTTAATTCTTACTGTAAGTGTTCTTATGGATAGCGTTTAATTTGTACTAACAATTATTTAAATCTTCTTTAAAAAGTACTTTGAATGATTTGTCTTTAAAAATTTATCTTAGCGATTAGAAATTGACAGTGTGGTAATGAATTCGAGCGATTATACACAGAGTAAAAATATTGTTTCATAGATGTCAAATGTCCAAACCTCGATAGGCATGTTTCTCTATTGCTTGACTTTGTACATATATATATATATGTACACTATATACATGACTGTGGCACAGCCTATACAGTTAGGAAACTGGTTTTCGCCTCCTCTTGCATCAAGCCGTACTACTCATATGATCGAAGCCATTTCACACATTGGTACAGTTCTCATTGTATTATCTTTACGTATAAATAGTATCTCGTATCTACGAATGACGTACAGAGTTCTTAAATGTCGTTTTATAATTTATGGAAGGTGTCATATTTTCCATCATATTTTAGAGATTATTTTTAGTCATTAAGGCGCAATTTGTAATAATTACTCGCATGTGAGAAAAATCTAACTTTACCTATACTGTCTTTATTTAGCTTGATAACGTCAAAGAGATGTATGAATAAATATATGAATTCAAGATACGAAACGTTAAAGTAGGGAAAGACGAAAATGGGATTTCCTTTTTTTTTATATGAATCACATTTTATATGAATCACAGGACGCTAACTAGACGCTAATTTCATGTATTTGTTCGACAGGATAGAAAATGCGATTAACGGTTTTGAGCATGGTATTTTAGCAGGGATTGACCGGCTTTAATTATTCTCAAGTTAACCGCTGTCCAACTATTGAACTCGCGGTACCTTTCGGAAAGCGGTCCAGCTTAAGTACTCGGGTAAAGCCTACTTAACGTAACGTGGTTGATTGCCGTGCTGTATATATATATATATATATACGACATATGCACGAGCATCTAGTTACCGTTCCGACGAAGTAGATTTCTGCGGACCGTTTGAGGAGACTACTCCAGACAACGTTGATATTGTGGCAACGCATTGCTTGACCCGAATTTATCGTGTCACTGAATTTGCGAACGTAATGCCTCTTCATTTATCTTAGCCCTATCTCTGCCATTGCCTTTGACCTGCATTCGTATCTCCATTGTGGAGGTCCATTTAACGCTAAATGCGATTTGATTCTGAATTCCGTTTGTCATATTCATACGAATGTCTTATTCATTGTAAACACGGAGAATAAGGCAATATAGCCATGCTAAGTGGGGAATTACCGCTAACGAAGTATTTGCACATTCATCCAATACGTATTCTATTATACTTAATTTGTATTAATAAACTAATAGATGTCGCAATTACTGTTTATAATTATGTAATACAATATTAAATTATAAATAATAATTGTATGTAGAGATATTAAATTAATTGCAGATGGTTTGTGATTATATAATTTTATGTTATATTATTACATTAGAAACTCAAGTTGTTCTTTTTTAATTATTAAATTATTTAGTATTTAGGTTATTGCTTGTAATATTAATGAACATTATTGAAAAATTAGGATTAATATATATATATATTCAAATTAAATAATATTTATTTATAAGTATCGTTTAAATAATATCAGTTAATTGTTGCCAACATTTTGACTTGGCACAGTTAATATTTCTTACCTCAAGATAAATTCATCAAAGTTGAACTTTTGTGTATCACGCTTATATTCATGTGACAATCATGCTTGTCACAAAATGTCAGAACCGTTTTACAATAAAACGGGAAAAACGGGGTGTGCTTCCAGACGAAAACACACTTTCTCCGAATTGCCGTGCCATATCCGAATACGTTTTGGAGCCAAGCCAGAACATTTTGAAAAGGAACCAGAACAGTAACTGTTGCGAGTTTTCTTCGTCAGCGCGTTCCTTCTGTCGTTCGGTGAAGCACAAAAGGCTTTAAGGCAATGAATATATGCAGGTAGTGACACGGAAAGCTTCACCGAGACTTGGCCTAGAGCGTTTCCTGTGATATGCAATTGCGGCGCACACTATGTCAGATGTACACGTTTGTGGGAAGACAATGAATGAAGTACGAAGTGCATGGCGCATATATATATATATATATGTGTGTGTGTGTGTGTGTGTGTGTGTGTGTGTGTGTGTGTGTGTGTGTGTGTGTGTGTGTGTATGTGTGCGATATATTGACGCATAACATGTATGAACCGTAAGTAAATATCAAAAGCTGTCGAAACGATTGGAAAATGGGCGTGAATTTTATGAGAGAAATTTAATTTTGTTAATTGACTCAATCAAAAAAGAAAATATTAATTATCTTTTGCAGAGACGATAATCATTTTAATGATATTTGAAGAATCAATTTATCAGCAATTTTATTTTTCAAATATTTAAAATGTGAAAAAACATGAAATGGAAAAAACATGAAATTGAATCTCTTGCGCATGAAAATTTCCCGATAGACGGAATAGAACATCTTGAAGTCTCTCTCTTCAGAATGAAAACCACCAGACATACATTTAATCAGCTTCGTCGTTCGCACCAAAGCGGATTGTGAGAAAACCAGGTCGGGGATCACATCAACTGGTAACAAAAAGACTGATACGATCTCAAGAAAGTCTATACGTATTTGAAGAATTTAAGAATGCCCCGACATTCTATCGACTTCTCGTTGGTTCTTTCAATCTTCGCGAGAATTTCGGCGATTTTTGCTAAGGTATTGCAAATTCTTTAAACATTCTGTCTTTATATTCCTTGCCGTTCTTAGTACGTTGAACTGGCGCTCTCTGTCAATTTTTATAGTCTGTGCCAGCGTGTAGTTCCAAATATAAACTCCTTGAATGCGTCCATGCTATCCATTCTCAGTCGCTGGCTGTGGCGGAGAGTTTATTTTCTAGTTTCGTGACACGTGCACGCGCGAATACCGTCCTCTTTCATGGAACCTTTCGGTAGTCTCGGCGCGAGCTTTCCATTCAGTGTTCAAATGGTGCCGATATCAGTTTCCGAATATTGTTAACGAGTTGGCCAATCGATTGTAACCAGTGTAAACGATGAATTGATTTGCTAGATTGCTAATTATGACTTTTCGTAATGTCAATGCATCAAATGCAGATGCAATATTGTTATCGTTTCTTTACTGCTTTTATTTTAATTTTTAAAAAAGTAGAATAATATTATCCATGTAGGTAACCAAAGAGGTAGAAGTAACATTGCATAACGAATTTAATGATCTAGATAGAGTTACACAAAAACGAAATTTCGTACTTGGAAATAGCGAGCAAATTATGACTTTTGAAATATTAAATTAGACACGTGAGACACATCATTTGCATTAAAAGATAAGCACCTCTCTCGAGTTGTTTTACATCCATATATGTATATGTGTTTCTTTCGTAGGATGTGTATATTTATGATAAGACTACACGCTCTCTCTCTCTCTTATAAATAGAACGTAATTAAAAATAGATTTAAATCAATGCAGTCCAATGTCAATTAAAAAGATAAACGCATAGTTCGCTAAAAAGTGTCAAAATTTTCAAGTTAAGTGGAACACAAAAATTTACATTCAGTAAAAATTTTTTGTCCAATACAAAGTATGAGCATGTCGAAATTTTTTCGCAAGCTAATTTTTTGCGACTGCTCGTCGCGTTCGGATTACGATAGCCGATCGATCGTTTTCGACGAATCGATTGTCGACGATCCTCCACCGAAATTCACGGAGGCCTCGAATTATGAACTGGAGCCCGATGACGTGGCGAAGCATTTTGATCTGTCCACTATAAAATTCATCGACGACGAGGAAGCCGACGAAGATGCGACCTGCACTAAGAACGGTAGCCGGCGATCGATTAGATTTTTCTTTTTTTATAGAAAAGTGGGTTGATACGCGGTAGGTCCGTAGTTATTCCCCGCTAAGGGATGATATAAATAAATCGATGGGCAAAAAGTTACGAGGACAATGTTGACTTTATGCGCGCACAAAGTTTTTCGTCGCGCGATGCGGCGAATTCAGTCGTCGCGTCGCGTGTCGCATAAAGATAGTTTTCGCTATATTCTGAAAGAAATGACAGGACCACGGATTACCGAGGACGGGAATAAAAAAAAAATGCCCGCAACGTGGTTTTCTCTCGCGAAAGTAAAAGGAAAAATAAAAGGAAAGTACTGCCCGTGTGAGAGAAATATTAAATTAATGGAAACACGGTGAGCTTCTCGCGCGGAGTAAATGAGAAACGAAGGGAATTTGTCAGACTGCGAGAAAGAAAAACAGAGATGCGCTTCACTTATTTCCATTCACCTCCATTACACGGCCGCCGCTATATTTGACTATAGCCGCGGCCCGATAATGGCTTCTTTGACGCGTGTTAAATGTACGATAAATTTGCCTAATTAATTCTTCGTGAATTCCCGACAGAAGAGCTGGACGGGCCGAACGGAAGTGGGCGGATACGAGACGCCTGGGTTATCGCCGTCGAAAGGTGAGAGATAACTTTTTATATTAAATTCTAAAGTATAAAAGAGACGGGTGCACATCTTGAGCGCAACGTTATAGCGTACGTCTACGTTGTATACGTGACATAATGTACACACGTATGCGAGACGAGATCTAGTGCCCCGCTTCTAGTAAATACATTCCTGTCGGGGCGGAATCGTGTATCGATTAAACGTCACATAAAAGGCGGCAGTGTCCAACGTGTTTTTGATCGAACGAGAGAATGCGTCATCTAAATGTCACGAGAATCGCTCGAAAGCAGCATGCGTTCCAATCGAGCCGATAATGACAGCTCGTGATGAGGTGTCGTAAAATCAGGGAATTCGCTCTCCCCGATATCTTTTCTCTCGTTTTTTTTTTTTTCTTTTACTCTTTACTAATATCGATCCAATTGACGTTATCCTTTGTAGACGCGGTGATATTACTATTAGCAGCGCGATATTAATAATACGATAGAATTAATGTTCTTAATTCATGTTACTTGTTCTATTATCTTTTTTCTCAAATGCAAAATCTGTTATTATATTTAATCTGTTCGAAGGCGTGATTTATTTCGATAAAAAGATTGAACCGTTCGAGTGTACGAATCTGAGAAAATTACGTCCATTAAATTGCTTCGGATTGCCTGATTAACTTCTGTGAAAGTACATTTAATGAGAACGGATAATCACTTGTCGCGAATAAGATTTCACAAAAGATTTGAGTAGTAATTTGCAAACAGAGTCGTATCGCGCGCGTTTGTCGAGAAAGATAGAAGAGAAGCGTCGAACGAAAACACGAAAGTTTCGTGCGCGATAAAGGATTGACTTCCATGACTCACTTCGGTATCTCGTTCGACTTCCCAAGGATAAGCGACAAGCTTTTCAAACGGACGTTTCTTCTGTTCGCAGGAACGCGAGGGAGAGGCTGCAGAAATTGACGGCACTCCAGAAGATCCAACCGCGCGACATCCATAGCATTTTACATCAACGGGTATGTAAGAACGAGACACGTAATTAGTCAAATTGCCTGTTAATATCATGTTCGAACGATTCAATGGCTCCGCTGAGATACGAGATCTCGTGCACCTCTCACATCGTGCCGAATAAAAGAAATCATCTTTTTACACAGATTACGCCGGAGCAGGTTTTCAGATTCACCATTGCGTTCAATTTTTCTCATAGTTCTGGAAGTTTTTTTAAGCAATTGTTACATATGTCTGGCTTTCTGTAGAAAAAAAGAATATAAACGAAATGTTACCGTAGTTCGTTCCGCCTGGCGTTTTTATATCGCATTCGATTTTCTCTTATTTTTAGAGATCCCCACGTTAATTATTTAACAAAATAATATTTAACTCGCTTAAAAATTTCTCTATTTATGCGCACGATATGCCTCGTACAGCTGCCTTAAAATCAATTTCGCCCGTGACCTTAATCCGCTATTGACAGGAATGCCGCAATCCAAATACACTCTGACAATTACGCGCGAGTAACAATCAGAGATGTATGTTAAAAGACATCGCACGTTTCTCGCGTACGTCTTCCGGCGATTCTTATCATTTATACTCGTACACGTCGATGTATCCGCGTGCAAATTCCGCGTAGCGAGGACGGCGCGGCGCGGCGCGTGCAAATGAATCGATCGGCCGCGAGCGAGCGGAATCGTCACGGAGGTTGCTTACGAAATGTGGAATATGCCAAGTAAATGAGCGCGGAGTGAGAGGCGGTTATGAGAGGTGATTATGCGCGGCCTTGTTTACAGGAGTGCACGAAGCAAGCGTGTGCGTTTCTCGTTGCATCGCGTTATGTACACGACGCACTGCTGGCTCACGCCTTTGCGATCATCCGAAACCCTTGGCACTTCGATTACGCAATAACGAGTTTCGCCGATGACACCCTCGTGATTTTAGCCAGAGGAGAGTTGCGTCGCCATTATCGTGGGGAAATTGCGCGGAAAGAGTAATATGAGCTCTGAGAAGAAAAAGAGAGGGAATTCCTCGCCCTCGAGCGTCGACAATGCGCTCGCGACTCGTCGCGGAAGTTAAGCTGTCCGAGCTGTATTGATACCCGACGTTTTCGCTGAATTGATAACCGAGCGACAAATATTGGTGCCATCCGACACTTTACTCAAAAGTATCGTATTTTTGAGCAGTGACGGGAACCGATATAATCCCGGCGAATGTCGACGCTACAGACGCGTAAAAATTCTTTCAAGTTTTTGTCTGACAGATTTTTTTCCTACTTTAATATTTTGATATTTATTATCGAGAATAAAACAAAGATTATATCTAGAAGAATAGTTAAATATATTGTTAAAGAGATGAAAGTAACTCTATCAATTTTTGGACGACAGACTTTTTTTTAATTCTAAAATATAGAGATCGTTTATTGAAACTGATTTGAATCTCTCCGAGAGCGATTAATAATGCCATAATTCTGCCTCAGGTTATAATTCCACATCCAAATACATTTCCAGCCGAATATGAGTTGGTGAAAATTAACTTTATTCACTCTTGCATTTAAACCCGCTTCGATCAAGAACTATTACATTAGTGAAAGTTCAACTTCAACTAACGTTTATGGCTTATATTATAGAAATAATTTTCGTGATATCGTATATCATAATGTTATATTTTTATAATTATAATTATAAAAAATTTCTTTTTTTTATCTTTCTCTTTTTTATCTTACTCATCGAATTAACAATTTGGAAGCCGGTTCGTCTGGGAAAAGTTTCGCGCATTGTTGTTATTAACCGCGTTCCGACCGAGATATTTTAAGGTCGCATGCGGGATCGTTTCGCGTGATCGCGATACGGCATGCGGGTTAAAATCTCGCGTAAGCAGGCACGCATCAGGTTCGCACATATCGCGCGAAACACATCTCGGAACGGAAACCATACGAGAATATCATAACACAACCGTTAACGAGTTTTCTTGATATTACGCTTCATATCATTCCCAGCGCGATTAATCGTATTGCTATCAACAATGCGGCGTATTACTCTCTAGTTCTCTTTATATCAGTGCATAATTCGAGTAAGTGGAAGATGGGCTAAGAGACCTCCAGTTAATTGTCGACGATGGTGGTGCCATTTGGGAAATTATTCTAGCTATTTTGCAATAGTTTTTTTCACATTAATGTTGAAATGCATTAAGATATATGAACAGGATGCTTAAGACATTTCAGGTTGATGAAATTTTCTTTAAAATGCAATATCGTACATGTACATGTAATCTCTATCTAAACAATGTATAATACTACTTCAAAATGATAACTCAATTTCTTTCTATTGCTATAAATAGACGAAATTTTAATGATATAAGAATATATAATGTGTAATTTATAATATTTATTTGAATGAAAAGAGATAAACTCTGTGGAAAATTATTTACACATTTTTTTTTTTTCAAATTATTTTATTTTTAAAGATATTTTTCAGCAAAACGAAACTAAACTACGAACGAAATTTCGTACTGCTATCATATATTTGAAAAAAAGATCTTTCAAAAAGAGAGAGAATTGTTAGCATTCTTTTTCAGAATGATATCAAGTCGTTAATTCACTAAATATAATTGATTTCGGATTTTACTCAATAACTTGTTGCATAATGTTGAAGAAATTATTGTTATTACATTTTATACGAATTAGTTTATTAGAGAATTAAGTTCTTCAAAATTAATGTAAAGCGAGTTGTGAATTTATACGTCACGCGTTGGAGACAGAGATAAACACGAGGATCGTATTTTGCCTAGAAATGTGCGGAAGCACGTGTGATAAAAATAAAGTGAAACTGTGCGATCAGCCATTTTTTTATAAAACTAAATTGAATACTACGTCGTACTATCATAGCGTGATTGTGACAACTCTTTATACAATCAAATTCAATCATCGTAACCAAATAAAAAAATTGCAATTATGGTAGAATTTATTGTTTGTCATAAAATTGGCATGCAACATTTGGTGTGGTATTACTGAAATAAAGACGTTATTGCGATGTTAGTTAATTTCTAGATCAATTTCGTCGAGAATAAAATCCAGAGAGAATCACATAGATATATTATGGATCACTTTTCGTTATTGTTTCAGACAATAAATTCAGTAGCGTCCACGAGCGAAGACTCCACTTCAAAAGACGTATCGAATGGCCAAATTACGGTTACTTTGGCGGACAAGTAAGTCACTTTTCTTCTTTTTATATCATTACTAAACTTTATTATAAACGGCAGAGAGAGAGAGAGAGAGAGAGAGAGAGAGAGAGAGAGAGAGAGAGAGAGAGAGCCCCTCTGAGATAGAGGGGCTCTCTCTCTCTCTCTCTCTCTCTCTCTCTCTCTCATTCCTTAATAATGAGAAGAAAACTTAGTGGGACTTCTCATAAAAAAAATTTCATTCTTAAATTTACACTTAATGTCAGAATTCTCGGGGTCACAGATACCTCAGGATCGATTAAAAACAATTTATATCGTGGATGCACTAGAACGATGTTGCTTCACAGGCGCAATACTTGTAATTAATTTCCGAAGACTTAATATCCCCTGGAATGTTCCTGTCAAAGCATAATAAACCAATGTCTAGTAAGCGAGAAAATATATGCGGCGTCTATAGGAGGCATCGTAACCGACCGGATATGACAAATTGCGATTGTCGTGACTGATATCCTTTCACAATGCCAATACGTTCGCGCGGCCCATTTTTATTTCGTACAATAGAGAAAGTCGAAGAATTTTCTATGTTATAGTTATTATTTATTGGCGACTGGTTGATTAATTTGATTGTCACAAATTAATTAATTCATCCTTGTCTTAATTGTTTCAGGGAATTGGAGACGAATTCTTTTTCCACCAAACTTAGCAACGGTACAATTCCCAAGGGATTAGGAAAAGAGGCGGACATCCGAGTGGAAAACACCTCGCAGGAGCGGAAGGACTCTTTGGAAAAGCAACACAGCTGCGAAGAGGCGAACCTCTTGGTAACGTAAACTTACAATTTACTTTAGAAGTATAAAAATACAAAGAGAAAAACAGTATTTGGGTAATTTATTCTTTAAAAGATTTTAATATACATGTAAACAAATTTAATTTTTAATTAGAGAATAATTATTAAAGAGATGTTAATTTTTAAATATCTGCATGTAACATTAAAATGATTAAATATAACATAATATGATTAAATTTTCACAATGAATTTTGAAACATAAACAAAAAAATTGGGAAAGTATACATAATATATAAGTATACATAACATACATTATATAATTATACACATTATATAATTTATTAATTAGCAAATATTTAATACTGTAAATTTTTCCCTCACATTTTTTCCCAATGTTATGTCGACACTAATCGCTTGTCGCTTGCATAAGCAACATCCGTTGGATTTCTTAAGTAATTATTAAACAGTTTCCGGAATAGTAAATCGCCATCAGTAGTTTATCACGCTTAATTGCCAACATTAGGCACGTTAAGTGGGAGTCTTCACGAGGCTATTGTTATTTATTGTTGTTTTTCCGAATTAATCGTCAGACAACAACCGATACTTTTCTTTATAAATATTTTCTCATATACGTTTATGCTAAATGAGAATTATGACTCTATTTATTAAACAATTTGAATACGTTTTAACACATCAACAATCAGTTATGGAGATTTATGTATTGAATCAACCGGGTATGCATAGATCAATCGGATTATTAAATTGTGCATTTTGCTTCAAATTAATCCTTCATTTACAACTGAAATTTTTCTGATTATCATTGATATTTTGATTATGTATTTTAGATAAATTTAAATTTATAAAAAAATAAGTAAATTACAATCCAAATTTTATTCGAATGATGATAAAAAGCTGCGATTAAATCTTCAACTAGTCGTAAGAAGAACAAGAAAGTCAAAATAATGTCATATTGACTGAATCATGTTAAAAAAAATAACATAAGTTCAGTCAATATGATATCAAATTGACTGAACTTATTTTGACTTTCTTGTTTGTCTTGGAGTTATCAAGATTTTATCAAATTTTTATATAATCTAGGACAATAAAAAAATTAATCTGTTTCTCGAAGATCCCTGTATTGTTGATGGAAGAGTTAAAATTCTTATTACGACAATATGAATTTAAGTTTTAGAAATATAGCAAAATTTTTATTAGCTGCAAAGAATAGCTAAAGTTAACTAAACGTCCGAGCAAGCTTAGGATGAAATTAGGATTAAACTGATCGAAGAGCCTGTAGATAAAAGATGTGATAAACTGTACGGATGTTCCATGTGTCAATTCACGAAGACATAAACTTTGCTGGCAGCAACCGGTACAGAGCGGAAGAATCGGAGAACGACGCTCGAGCAGCCCTTTCCAAAATGGTCGGACGGAAGTGCTGATTGGCGAACCGGAGGGCGGCCCGAGGTCGCCGCGGGGATCGACGTCTTCGGCGGTGAACGACGGCAATTTCCTGAATCCACCGGACGAGCGAGACGAACCAATTTGCAGGTAAGTACATTGGACTGTAAGCGCGATCAGGGACAAAGTTTTATGCCCCCGTCTTCCAGGTCAGCTCGAATTCTCGTCGTTGTAGCACCTCGTCCTTTATGTTCCATCGGGTCATCCTGTAGCGTTTGTATGCGCCGTTATTCGTTGCTTAACTCACTAAACAATGACTATTCCGTTCGTCTTTATAGCCTGAGATAAAAGTTTTTATCGACCGTTTTCGAAACCGCTCGTTAATATTATCGTTACTTATTTAACCGCATAATTGATCACGACTTAATGATCGAAATGATCGAAACATAATTTAGTGCGAGCGAGTCGCACTTCTTAATAATTATTTCGAGTAATCGCTTTTCTAATCGGGATTTGTGATTTCAATGTTATCTATTCTAATGTACGTTTCTCTTCGAGAGATGATTGTTTAATGAAGAGAGTGATTCAATGAATTACTTGGATCTATATTGAATTACTCGTGGATCCCCGCGTTCTCTACTTTACCGCGATAGCGAAGCATAAATTCAGCCGATGTCCGTTGGATGTCGCCATCAATGTACTTGGAGTGCGATCTTTTAAAATTCCCAGAGGGATGACTGAGATCCGCACACGTATTTGGATTTAACAAACTCCATACATTACTAACGTTCGTACATTTATATACATCCACATACACACTTTTATAAACGATAGCAATAAACTTTTGTGGAAAAGAAGAAGCAAGGTGCAATTTCATTTGAAAACACTAAAAAAAATAAGAACAAGACAAGCTGTATACGTGTAGATGAAGCAAGATAACTCATAGTAGGACAGTGGGAAGTTTAGAACTCATTTTTTCATTATATTCCTTAATTAAAACCGGTTATGAGTCTCAGAAAAGTTACGAGTTAAGAATAACGCGAGGAAAAAGAATGTGACATAGTTTTAACACTGGATCGTTTTTTATCTTGCAATGCGATATTTCTCGACTACATCTAATGCCGCTTTTTCTTGTCAGTTGTCGCATTAGCATAGCGACTTTATTAAACATTGTTACATAAAATTATTACGTCAAATCTTATATACGTTAAATCTTAATATATATGTTAAAATCTCACGTTACTTATACGGTTGAATTGTTTAAACGCAACTCTATCACAACTATAAAACATTTCTCGAAATCACTGGCTTCAATTAAAAAAATAATTTGAACTCACTCCGAAATGAAATTAATGTCCTACATTTTTACATTAGGAAAGGATTTTTCAAGCGAATTCATTTTACACGTCGCATTCCGCGTTCGTAATAATAACCTACTAACATTCAATTCGGAGGTATTGCGGAAAAATATGTTCAACTCGATGTAAAAATGCGAGCGATTATCCGATCTGCGATCAACTACGGACAAATGGGCTAATCTGAAATGCGCTTTAGAAGAGTGCGATTATAGTGGAATCGATTCCGCGGAGAGAGTCGCATCTCCAGTCGGTCGGTAGATCAAATATGTCCCTCCCCTCTCTCTCTCTCTCTCTCTCTCTCTCTCTCTCTCTCTTTCTTTCTCTCTCTCTCCTACAGATATAGAGATGGTCCGCTGGAATCTGCGGCGCGACTCGAGCACTTGGAAGTGCAGGCTGCCAGACTCACTCGACGGAGTCACTTCGCCGGTATTTCACGCTCGCGACACACCCACCTGAGTCGGTGTGAGTGCAGCCTAAACAATGCGTTTTCCAGCTCCTCGGTATGCAGCTCGACAGAGCTCTCTACCTCGCTAATCCCTCTTCCTCTCTTCTTTTCTACCTTCGCTGAATTTCATGTTCTTTCTCCCTCCTTCTTCTCTTTGTCTCTTTTCCTCTGCAGTCTCTCACTTTCTCTCCTCTCCTCTTTCTCTCTTCTCTCCTTCGGCGTTTTAACGTGATGAAATGGATACATGGCGTAAGACGGAGAGGAGAGAGAAAGAGAGAGAGAGAGAGAGAGAGAGAGAGAGAGAGAGAGAGAGAGAGATTTCTTTCAAATGCGACGGCTCGGCACGAGTAGCTGGTGCTCGTATACAAGCTTCTCTAATTTTGCAACGACCGAAGAAATTTCGTTCTATCGTACCTACTGACTTCTTTTTTGTTTTAGTTCCACGATTAATGCATCCTCTTTGTGTGAGAAGAGTGTATTATCTCGCGCGCTCAATGCTTTAGGAGTCATTTTGTTAAGGACGATAAGAATTCGTTCTTCTTATTCGTTTTGTTACTCATCTTCTCGTTCTTCTTCTTCTTCTTCATGCTTTCCTCGGATGCGGGCTCTCTCTCGAAATGTAATCTTTTGCAAGTTCCGCCGCATGACTGGTTCCCGTTGTTTCACGCTTTCTCATAACTGCCCGCATTGTCCGCTTTTAATTCTCCAACTTAATAAACTGAACGCGTCGACCGCCGAGGTTTGTCCTCGGCTCAAACAGTTAATACTTTACGACACAGTACGCGTCAAAGCGGATGATGCGTTGGGAGAAAGGTAGACAATAATTAACACCATGGATTATTAATGGTATGAGGAAAGTTTAACGGTGTAATAATGAAACACGTTGACAGACCCATTCTAGGTGAGCGGAACATCGTCAATTTATTCACGAGCTTGCGTCCAGATGCATCATATCGCTCAGGTGCGAATGAATGTGCCCTATTGACACGGGGTACTTTTAAATAACGAGAGGCCGTTTCGGTGAATGGTCCGAAAATAAACTTGTGAAATGTCCGGTCTTGTAAGCTAGCAATCCTAAAGAGTCTACCATCGCTCTTCTTTGGAAAGATGAGATTGCGAGATTGAATCCCTCCCCCGCTCCTGTCCCGAGTGCCCTAGTTTCCCTGCTTTAAAGCAAGATGCATCTCATGCGAGACACGTCCTAAAAGCTCGTAGTTATTGCGGCTGACGCATTTTTTGGCATGCGTACAGAATTCCATTTGCGGATGCCGGTTTTTGCATTAGTATACATTGCAACGATCCAAATGCAATCCTCGCGCTTTTTCCAAAGTCTTTTTTTTTTAACCGTGCAATCGATATCCCCGGAAAATATTTTGTGATATTTCCGACAAGACCTTATCGCTTGTTTAACGCTGTCAAAATATTTAATGATAAAAAATGAAAAAAAAAAACAGTAGTATACAAAATTTGCGGTGATCCATTAAATTTACCAAGCAAATAATTTCTTTTAGCGATAAATACCGTATATACAGCCTCGTACTTCATAATTTTACATCCGTTATCCATATCGATGTCCGATATCGATTCGCTCCTTCATAATCGATATCGTCCGTGCCCGGCAACTGCGTTTATGTTTATACGCGTCCGGTTGGAACAGTGACATTTTTTCACGTCGTAGTAGCATTTGTATTGAACAGCTCACAATCAGCGATTGCCTTAAAAGAACGAATGTATTGTGATCTATAAAGTCACCTTCATCGATGTATTGCGTTAAATCAGAATACATCATACACTCATTAATTAGAATTATATATAATTATTTGTATCTCGTCCATTTCCATGTAGATATCTTTTCCATGTATTAATTAAAACTGAACATCAATTTTATTTACATCTACATCTTTGGAAGTAGATAGAAATATTCTAAAAGATTCACGTACGTTAATCAAACATCAATTATATTTATATCTCATTTTTAGAAAAATAAATAGAAGATATTCTTAATGTTTTAATTAATACGACTTTGAAAATTGCAAATAGAATTATATATTTTAATAACTCGATTACAGCATCACAATCTCTGATTTGCGAAATGTTGACTACATGAAATTTTGATTAAGAATGATCTCTCAGCTTTAAATCTATCATTCCTGCATTAACAATTACTGAAAAAAGATTAATTAAATAAAAAAATAATTAGCCGTAACCATTATAAGTTCGACAATCGTGAATCCGCACGCGAAAACCTTCGCGAACGGCGTGTCCGCGAATGTTTTTCCGCGTGGCAAGAAAGGATGACAATCTGTGCGCGTACGTGCGAGACGTACGGCCGATTTGCACGACGTAGGACAGGAGAAAGAGGCGAGCAAATTCGAAGCGCATTCCCCGTGATTGAACGTGTTCCTACCGCCGGCAGTGCCGGCGTAACTGTAGCCAGAGCTATAGTACATCTCGTTATAACGTGCGCTCGTTCTCTACAATATTGCGGCCCGCTGTGTGTGACACAGCCACGGAATACCGATTGCTCATTCTCCCATGGCGTTTCCTGTTCCGACCACGTATATCCCGCTTTCAAAATAAAAAAAGAAAAAAAAAAGAAAACAAGAAGAGAAATACGTACGTATATACATACATACGTGCGGAAGGAGGAAGAGGACAGTGATGCACGGATGGACGAGCTGTTGCGGGAAGGTGGAACAACGAGAGGAGAGGATCGACTGGGGAATAGTAGAGAGGAGGATATAGGAGGTGCAACGTGGATGTGACGAGGATCGGCGTTGTATATATATGTATATATATATATATATATATATATACTGACGACACGCCTGCTGCCCATTGTTCACGTCTAACACATTATGCGCATCATTCATGGCCTTTTACGCCTGAGCCTCGCGTCAAGTTCATGCTAATTCTCTCATGAACTAATCTAAAGTCAGACTGATTCCATACGAAGGAAGATTTTGAAAGACCCGCGAGCTCTTGACTTCGTACAGAGGATAAGTTTCACATCCCTGTTGACAGGATATTTTATAGAAGTAGATTCTTCAAGAGCTTTAGTTTAACGAAACACACGTCACAATAGATTAGGTTATGAGTGAGTGACGTATTTCTTCTTAATTGTTAACTTGGAAGTAAACACGACATACGATATTCTTGATTTGAATTTAAATGGATTTGGATTCTTTAACAGAACCTCAATTTTGTATTTAATTACTAAGATGATTAATATCGAACAGTCGCGATAATCTCTTCGATTAATACTTGATAAATACTTGAAATGAGAAAAACTAATTGATACGAATTACTACATTTTTTTAAATTTTCTTTGAAATAAATTTCTCGAG